TCAGTGCCCTTTGGGGTTTTTATTTATTCGGTTTAGGGAGATTTTTTTCTTCTTTTTTCTAAGTGACTTTAAGACAGTGTAAAGAAATGGTTAAGTTTTTGTAAAGGTGGAAAATATTCTTTCTTTTCATTTCTAGCTTGGAGAGTGGCATAGCAACAATGTCATATGAAAATGAGCACTCTTGAAATGCCTTCATATTCCAAATATGACATAAATTAGTTTACAATTATGAGGTAAATCTTCATACCACAAGTATGAGCAGTGCTTTGTCACTGCATACAAGAATGGAGTCACTTGTTTCATTCAGATGATGCAGAATCTTCACATTATCAGGGGAGTCCACAAAGGGGTTTAAACATGTAACAGCAACCGGTTGGAATTTTGATGTGACAGGTTTGAAAATCAGCAACCAGATTGAATTTGGATTGTATATAGTTTAAAGATCAACAACCGGTTTGAATGTTGATTTGTATAGGTTTCAAGATCATGAAATATTTGTCATATGTGTATGAAAATGCTTCAAATTGGGGGTCAGATAGCATCTGAGTGCATCTAAGAACCTAAGAGCCCTTAAGCAAGCCCTGGATTACAGCAACAAAGGACTTGGTTCTTTGTATTTATAAGTTCATACTCTTTCTGCATTCCAATTTAACATGTTCGAATATATGTTTGTGGACCACCCTATATTATACACCATTAACCTTAGGTCCTTCACAATAAACCTATAACTTTTACATAATTGACCAGTACTCCACTTTATCTTTAAGTCTGAAACATACAAGTAAGTCCCATAGGGTTAGCCAATGAAAAGCTGATACAGAGATAGAGAAGACCAATAAGTGGGAGATACAGTATACATATGATCACCAAATTCCATTACACAATACATGATTCCTTGATGGGTTTGACCAGCAGACTAGCAGAGGCATTTTTAATATTTTCTATACTAAAAATAGTTTTGCTAAGTAATTGCTTCATAGATGAAAGTAAATTGCATCATTACTTTGTAACTCCTCCCCTCCCCAAAGCCCAGCCATTATCTCTCATTGTGGTGGGTGCACAGATCAGATAATAATTATACTAATCTAAATGTAATCATCATTATGTTTAACAAAATGGCAGGCCTCAAATTAAATCTAAATATTTGCTCTTAGCTAGTTTTCATGAGGCATTTTCCCCTCAAATAAGATTGCTATTATGTCGAATTCAACCAAGTGAGGTGGAAAAAAGCAACAGTGTTTCACAGACTGCAAAATAATTCATGATATATTCTTTATCCTCTATGAAAGTGAGACAAACTGGGAAAGGAAAAGGAAATGTATGTTTGTTCTACTATGGATAATGATACATACAAACAAACAAGACAAAGTGGGACAGCAAGAGGAAATGTATGTTTGTTTCTACTATGGATCAATGAAAGGGTTTTTATTTTGTTTGGGGGGGGGGGGGGATCTAAAGGTCCTATGCTTAAAGGTTCTATTTAATATTCTGTTGTAAGTATTCAGTTCTAGGCGATCTGAAGTTTATAAGTTCAGCATAATTTACATATTAAATAATTTTCAACAAAGATCTTTTGATTTAGAGCGTTAAAAGAAGACAAAAGTTTTGATATTGTTGTTTACCAAATGAATTGCCAAAAGGAACTTTTAAAGTAACACTCAGCAAGCACAACTTGCCACAAATATCAACACATTTACAGGAGAGTGGAAAGTTTTTCTCATTTTTTCTTTTATGCCTTTCTACTCAAATACCTGTCTCACTTCAGATTTATTTTTTCCATAAATTTTATTTAAAACGTTAAATATAACTTTTAAGCATGATTGGTTCGTTGGACTGTGACTAAAATCAAGAGGTGAATATAAGCTATATAGACTGATATGCATGAAAGCTCTACACTACATACATGTATCTTTTCATCTCTACTGTAAAATGAGTATTAGTAACCAATAACAGATGTGTACTCACCATATATAATTGTTAGTCTGATAGAATAGAAATAAATGCAGAAAGCAATGAATTTAGAATTTAGAAGTTGATTAGTAGCTCAGATGTAATCAGAAATGAAAGAGAAGCTAGTTCAATATTGTAAGAAAAGGTCAAATCAATAATTTAAGCCCATTAAGGAAAGCTCCTTCAGGAATACTGATATGTGAGATTCAGGTTGTGATATAGTATTTTTTTTTAGATAGTAACAAATTGAAATCAAGTATGTTTTCAAAACATACAAAGGAATTTCTTCAATAGTGCTATGAGCACTTTTTTGGTTCAATACTGAAAATTTCAAGACAACCTGATCTCCTTTCAGGAACAGAAAGTTATTAGGATTAAGAAATAAGACAGGTTAAGTTCCAACTGTAGATGCACTAAAAATCAGTGTTCCTGTTCAAAAATACAAATGTCTACCCCTTTATCTTTGTCACTAAAGAATGAATGTACCAGTACATGATTCTTTTTTTAAAGAATTTGGCTCACTTCAAAGGGAGTAATCCTGTATTTGTCATTTGGTTCACATGATATTAAAGGCACTTAAATCATAACTTAGAAGCACACAACTGAACATTTCTTGAGTAGTTTTTTTTCCAAAAGATGTACACAATTTGTCATTATGCATTTCTCTGGCAAAACAAAAGGGCTCTCAAATGTTATTGTCACAAAATGTTTATGAAGAATTAATATAGATAGGATGAATTTTGCAACCATGCAAAATTAAAATATCTTGGTAATAGACGGATATCAAAGATGGGGAGATATATTACCACTAAATGATCCATGTTAAGTTGTGAGGAAAAAGTAATAAATGCAGCATGCTGTTACAGAATTTCACCCATTTAAGAAATGAATATTAAAAGAAAATATATAGTATGTTGTGGAAAAACAAATTGCCAACCAGTTCATAATCTCGTTATTCTCGTAATTTTGTCCAGTTGTGATCACATACTTCTTGGATAAACAAATGAACATACAGTATCAAAAAGTAAAACTTGCTTAGTATAAAAAATATCTTTCACTGTCTATTAAATAAAGAACAGTATTTTGATATTTGGAGATTTGTAAAAAAAAAAAAAAAAAAAGAGAGAGAAAAAAAATCAAGGTTTCTATCTCTTTAAAGGTAATACAAAGTTTTGGGAAATTTTGAAAATTGGGTGGATAGTAATTCTTTACAATTTTGATGTATTTGAAATTTTGAATGCCCCTGTGATGTATTCTATGCACTAGAAAATTTAGCCCCTAAAACACTTCTGCTTTAGAGAAAAATTGAACCTAAAAATTTACAGGTGCTCCCAGTATATTTTGATAAGTTTCAAATAGCGCCTACGGCCGTACATTGGTAGCTGCGACCATGAAAATCTCTAGATATGTAGTTGTGATATATAATTTCCAAACGGGAATAGCTAATTGGTCGATTTTAGTCAAGAAACATTGTTTTATAGCTAATAATATCTTGACCTTGAGAGGGAGCTATACAAAATATTATTATTTACAATTTCATGAATTTAGACCCGATTTCAACCGCGACAACGATTATTGAATATTGTATGATCGAATATGCTTCCAATATGTTCATTTGAACCGAATTCATGACCCCATACCCAAACTTTGTATTACCTTTAAGCCAGTGTTACAGGTATGTATAGTCATAGCTTTTATTCAGCATAAATGTATAGCGCGATATATACATCATTATTACCCGTATCAGACATCTGAGCTGGTCATTTACAAAACCGTATTGCCCTAGTTTCCACTAGCAGTGGGAACGGAGGGGTATATTCTTTGTATTTTCCTTGGTCTCCCTGCGCGTATTGACTTTGCGTGTAGAGACGAGTGAAAATATACCTTGGTATTTTCCACGGTCTCGCATCCGGGCATCTTGTATTGACTGCGCCATATTTTGTCATTTTCATTGGGCATCTATTATGCGTACGAGAACCTGCGCACTTTGCGCGCACTCTATTGTGACGTAATAATCACACCAAATGCACACTGTTTGCAGTGTATAGAAAATTTCGTCAAGCACTGGATGCACAGTGCTGGTTTGACAAAGTTTGTTCAGTTCTTTGAGATTGTCATTGTGGATTTCTGAATTTGCTCTAGATGTCTGATTTGGATAACAATAAAAATATTGACTGGCTTTACTTTCGGGGGATATCAGAAATATTTACCGCGCTAAGACCATATTGCCCTCGTCTTTCGACTCGGGGCAATATGATCTGAGCTTGGTCAATATTTCTGATATACCCCTCAAGGCCAGTCAATATTATATAAATATTCATCCTACATGTACTTATTGCATACATGTTTATCCATACTGATATCATTAATTCATGAGTCAGCACACAAATATATAAATAATTCAGCTAAAATGATTTTTAGCCATTCTTTGGTTAGGAGACCAGCACCTATGAATACTATGAAGTAAAACAAACATTTGAGTAATACTGTGAGAAATAATGTCCATGAATTTATAATTTAGTGGATTGAACGTCATTAGGTCTATATGGGTCATTAGGGTGGTCATGAGCATCCTCTACGGGTTTAGAAGAGGTATCTTTGGGTTGCTCTGGTTTGGATTGGTCGGGAGGAGATGAGATGGTGGTAGGAGGGGTGTCAGGAGTGGGATTAGTCATGGGATTAGAGTTGGGAGCCAATGGTGCACCTTGAGGAGGAGAAGGAGAAGGAGGAGGAGGGGGTGTGGGTGGAGGAGGGGGTGTGGGCGGGGCAGGGTGCAGAGTAGGGGGTTGGTTCTCTATAAAAGCAGCAGGAGGGGGAGGAAGCGATGCTTCTTCAGATGGGAGGGGTGTGACTGAAATGACAGGAGTTGCTTGAGGTGACCTAGGAAACTTGGGAGACACACCCTGTCTGGATGTAGGAGGGGTGGCTGCCCGAGGAGGCGTGCCAATCCCAGGGGGCGTAGCCCCTCGACTCGGGGGAGAATCGGCCCTAAATGTGCCATGGGAGTACATGCGACCCATCCGGGGGGAGTGGGATGGGCTTGGGCTCACCCTTTTACGCAGAGTCTCATTCTGCTGCTGCTGCTCTTGCGTCTTGTTGGCGTTCGATAGAAACTTCTGATAAGCAAGGTCAAAGGCTTGGCCGACTGTCAGTGTGATTTCCTCTGCCTGTCAACAAATACATAAACAAGTGCGAAGCACAAATGTTCATTCATAAGACACACTGTCACACTCACAGATAAGGAAATATGAAATTTTGAAACTCACAAACATTTCTTGCTGTGAAAATTGGAATGACTAACAATAATATTCATGTTTTGGGTCTAACAGCATATGGTGTCAACAATTTACATGTAGGATAAATCCTAGAGTTTCTCTCCAAATACTGCTTCATTTCAAGTTTCAGCACTCAAGATTAATATTACCACATCAAATCACTTTTATTGAATTCTGTGATGGGCCAGTCATTACCGGTATACAGGAAAGATTGCCTCCCAAATTATTTGTTGGATTCCCCTTCATAGTTCATGTATCAGTAAAAAACTAGATGGAATTTTGACTGCGCGCAGTCGAAAATACTGCCTCCGCCATAGAGCAATTTAAACAAGTTTGGAGTTTAAATCTCCAGTGGTTCTTGAGATATCATGATAACAATCTCAATGTATGGAATTTCATAAGTTGACCTCTGTGACCCTTGACCTTTGACCTACGTGCTCCAAAATCTAATCAGATTGTCTTCCTATGGTGATACACACTATCATTAAGTTTGAAGTTTAAATCTCCAGTGGTTCTTGAGATATTATATGGTGATACATACTATCATTAAGTTTGAAGTGAAAATTCTCCAGTGGTTCTTGAGATATCGCGATAACGATCTCAATGTATGGAATTTCATAAGTTGACCTCTGTGACCCTTGACCTTTGACCTACGTGCTCCAAAATCTAATCAGATTGTCTTCCTATGGTGATACACACTATCATTAAGTTTGAAGTTTAAATCTCCAGTGGTTCTTGAGATATTATGATAACAATCTCAATGTATGGAATTTCATAAGTTGACCTCTATGACCCTTGACCTTTGACCTACGTGCTCCAAAATGTAATCAGATTGTTTTCCTATAGTGATACACACTATCACTAAGTTTGAAGTTTAAATCTCCAGTGGTTCTTGAGATATCATGATAACAATCTCAATGTATGGAATTTCATAAGTTGACCTCTGTGACCCTTGACCTTTGACATACGTGCTCCAAAATCTAATCAGATCGTCTTCCTATGGTGATACATACTATCCTTAAGTTTGAAGTTTAAATCTCAAATGGTTCTTGAGATATCGCGCTAACAAACTCAATACAAGGAATTTCATAAGTTGACCTCTGTGACCTGTGACCTTTGACCTACGTACTCCAAAATCTAATCAGATCGTCTTCCTATGGTGATAAATACTATTCCCGAGTCTTAAGTTTAAATCTTAAATGGTTCTTGAGATATTGTGATAACGGTCAAACGGGACGGACGTACGGACGGACAACCCGAAAACATGATGCCTCCGGCACCACCTTCGGTGGCGGAGGCATAAAAAAAGCTCTGAAAATACACTGTTTAATAGAATGTAAACGTGCAGATGGGTTATATTAGAGCTTACATTTTTGTCACTTTCCATGACATGGCAAATGTTTTTGTTTTCCTTGGCATCTTTGGCGATGAAGGCACATATCTTCTTGTCGGACTTGTCGTCAGCGCAGTAGGAAATGTGATGCAACGGATAGGTGAACTGCTTCTCCTGTAAAGGTAATCGGCAGAGTAATGGCTCGTTCAGATGTGAAGCGGTAAACTGTTATTTGAACGTGTAAATGAAAGGCAACTACGCACAAATGAAAAAGTCCTGCACAAATTCACTGAGCTCTGTGTTTTAACATACCGATGCTGCGGTTTTTTGCCCCGCCATATCTGAACGAGGCCTTACATGTAGATTTAATGTAGAAGGGAGGGACATTAATAATAATAATAATAATAGGTATTTCTATAGCGCCATCTATCTAGATAATTCTATTCCGAGGCGCATTTATTATTACCCCGGCTTTAGCCTAGCTGCCGTTTATACAGCGCTCCAGCATTTCAAGGAATTAATTCCTGCCAGGTACCCATTTACATCACCTGGGTTGAGTGTGGCAAATGTAGATCAATCTTTGAAGGGTAATTTGAATACCATGTTAAGATATCATTGGCTAAATAGGGTATCTGAATTTAAAGTAATGCTTGCATTTCCATAATTTTATTAAATGAATCCGTTCCACTGGCTGCCTGCCCTAACAACAAACAAAGAAGACAAAAGACTTCATGCATGGCTGATAGTCAACGAAACAGAGTTAAGGCTTTTGTCAACTATCTTTGTTGCTACGGCAGGCAGCCAGTGAAAATGAATTTGTTTAATAAAATTATGGAAATGCAAGCATTATTTTAAACTTACAGAACTTTGTTATTCCTGGCTTACTTTTCCTGATTGAGGTGTCAGATGAAAGAGGCAGAAAAAGAACTTTCTAGAAATGTGATTTTCTCTTTGAAATTCAGATACCGTTCGCAAAACGACTTTTTGGTACCCTTACTTTAAATTGTTTTTAATCACTCATCCATGAAATACACTGTATGCATCATATGAGTTGAATCAAATGAAACAGGAGGATCTAAGCTTTACAAATATGTGTCATTTATTAATTATAGTTGTGATTAAGTTATGATAAAACACTGATAATAATCGGTTTCATTTTTTCTGGGACGCAGCACTGCATATGCTCAAAATTCATTTTTTTTAAGTAAAAAATTATTGACTGGAATAAAGAGATATTCAAGTACACATGTAGGCGATATATACATGTAGCTTACATACATGTACAAACAGAGGTAGAAAGAATTACAAACAACAGATTTACATACATGCCATGCGTATTCATAGATGAAAATTGACATGTACCTGTACGAACACACACATACACTGTACATAGACATAGCAAGGAAAAGACCTTGGTGATAATGACAACAGGATATTAAACAAAGTTCACCTTTCTGAAGGAAAGGTCAAATCAACTATTCAGACACACTACTTCCTCTTTGCAATATCCCACGTTTGATGTGTGAGAGCATGGACCTACAGTACTAAGTAGTATAGGTCCATGGTGAGAGGATGAGTTTGGGGACGGGTATATAGTGAGAAAGAGAGAAAGGTAGAGGGAAAGATAGAGAGGGAAACAGAGACATAGATATATAGAGAGAGAGAGAGGGGTAGAGAGAGAGAGAGAGAGAGAGAGAGAAATAAAGAAGACAAAGATATATTAAAGAAAACAAAGATAAAAGAGAGGGAGTGAGAGGTAGAGAGAAGGGGAGAGAAAGTAAAATCTAAAAGCACTAAAAGTAAACACATTGATATCCTAACAATTTTCTTTTAAGAAAAAATAGAATGGTTCTGAAATACAAATTTTGACCCAATAATATTCCTGAAGATAAAGTAAACATTTAGTTATATTTTTTATGTCCTTTTCAGCCATTCCTGTTTGAATTGAATAGCGTCATGTGATTTCTTACCTTTGTTTGTCTATCTTGGATTGTGACGCCATCTACAGATATAGTGAGCTCCATCTTGGGAGGTTTAGTGCCTTCTGATCTCTTCACTTGCTTATTGAACTGAAAGCAAGAGGAAATGTTAAAGTACAGGTATGTAACTGACAACTTGTAGCATGCACTGAAGGAAAGAACTGCTCCTACAGTGTACATGTACTTTCATGTATAACATAGCTTATTGTTTGTTTGTTTGTTTGTTTTGTTTTATTTCCACTTTTTCATATCAATACAAAGAAACATACAAATAAATATGATGAATAACATGTAAGTTTGACAAAATTTGTTTCTAGTTAAAATAAAAGTTTCATACAAAAGGAAAAAAGCAGGAGACCACATGTCGTAAGCGTAAATGCTTGTGCACAACATCCTCTAGAAGAATTATTACAACATATATTAATACTAATAGCACTTAATAGCACTTCTAAACTACTACTACATGTAGTATGCCCTATGGTGCTAAAAACATTCAATGACATGTACTTTATAACAGGTCCCTATTTACTACAATTGGGTTGAGAGTGGCAAGAGATTAAGTGCATGTATGTAATGTGTGTAATCATGTACATGTACATGATTACATGTAGAAGAAAGTAATGAGTTCTACTTAGAGTTCAAGAAGATTACACAGCTGGTTACTTATTGTTCTCAGAGGAACTATCAGTACAAATTGAAAACATCAATGAGGTCTGGTGATGCACTGCTTCTCAACGTTGTATTAGTATTATCAATAGGGGCAGACATTTGGATAATATCCATTGTAGCAATTCATTCTATACATTTCATTTCCTCCTTCATTCACGCAAGTACATGTACATTGTATGTAAGTGTAAGATGAACAAATAGACAAAATATAGTACCACAACAACAATAGCACTTGCGTTTAACACTGAACGACTATCAATTATTCAATTATACCCTGAAACTTCAGACTCCAGTTAGAATCTACATGGCAATGAAACAAGATTTTTACTAACACACAGATTCTTGTTCCTATCAAACAGTCAACATGATTTACAATCAAATAATGTCCTTACACATTTCCTCATTCAAATTCCTGCTATTAGGTAGATATCCTTCCATTCCATAGACTTTTTAAAGACTTTTATCTGCTTAAGAACTGTTTGCCTCATTTCAATATGTCCTTTGTGCTTTCGGCCCACTTCCTTTGTATTTCTCTGGCATCCGTGGAACACTTAATCTTTAAGAGACCTTCCCTCCCAATAAACTAAACTGGGGAGATTTCATCTATTTTGTTAAACTTCTTTGTACAGGAATTTATTACAAATGGAGAAGAAAAACAAGAATTCAGCCAATAATGCAAAGTCACTCATGGGCCTAAACGTGTGTACATTGTAGATGTGGTATAGTATTGAACATTCACTGCAGCACTAGGGTAAAAGGTACAATAACCGTTGTAGGCATTATTTTCAAACACCCTTGTAGAACAACTGCTAGATAGTACACTTAAAGTTGCTCATGCGTGGGTATACTAGTGTCCCTTTATGCATACGTCTGTACAGGAGCGTTATATACCCATTGGCTCAGTGTTTGCCAAGTTGCCAACTTCACAAACGACTATACCCACGCATGAACATCTGTAACATGTAAAGCAGGACTTCATAAAAATTTCAAAAGTGAAATTTCAACCCTATAAAATTTTGTTTGAACTTCCATCAATTTATTCAGTATTATTCTCTAATCTTTCTGTTTTCTTTCAAAGTGACTTTGATATCAATGTTAATAAAGTAATAGGCACACAGGACAACATTGTACATGTACATGGATTGGAGTGTCATAAAAGATCTAAATAGAACGTAGTACATGTACATCAGAAAAATGTGTGTACTGTCAATATGAGTACCGTACATCAATAATATTTAAAGTACCCAAACCTGCTAACCTATTATGCTAAAAAAATCTAAAATCTACAAGGACAAATAGAGAAGTTGTTACTCACTTTTAAACAGATATTTTCAGACAATGACGGAAACAACACTGGTTTGAAGGCAAAATTAAACTTTAAGAACCATTCCTAGCTCCAGGATAGAAATGGTTGGTAGAGCTCTATATTTACCTTTAATTTAGTCACTGCTTCCTTCACAATATCAGCTCCCTTAGGGGCTGATACCTCGACCAGTCCAAGATACTGTCAGAGAAGATATTCAAAACAGAGGAAAACACAAATTACTGTACATGTATAACAATTATCCCTTCCAAAAAGTATGGGCTACAGAATGAATTGATCTGTATAAAAAAGAAATTTAATTTATTTTACTTTATCTAAAGAAAATCAAAATTCACAGTATTGTAAAATATAAAAAATAAATTACATTAGAATGTTCATATAACATACACTTGTAATAGTTCAGTCGTCACATCAATGAACCCAATACAAGATCAACTACAGACCAAACAAAAAAACTGCATTACCCCCAATGGCCAATAATCAGTCAGTTTGGAGTTGATTTGGTGGTGTGACTGACGACAAACATAATTACTTTTACTTTGGAAGATACAGACATAACCAGAGTTACAAACCAAGTTCACGGTTATATGATAGCGATGTATTTTAAAAAAAATAGTTTATCTCTTTATTTCACTTATTTACAATGCACTTAATGTATATTTACATAGTACAAGTACACATATTACAATTACATCCATTTCCACAAAAAGAGGTTTGTTATGATAAGGATTAAAAAAAAAAAGTTACCAGCATGTTTTCTCACTGTTTCTAATTGATAAGGCCTAAATCTGCTTGTTGAACATTTAGGCATGAAAAGATAACACTTATACCGGTAGTTTAATACTTTTCCTTTTATGATTAAAAACTAAAGTTATCAGACATTTCTAACTTATTGCCTAAATACAGAATCGAGTACACCTAAACTTAACTAGAGAACAAAAAAAGGCAACCATAACCCTTATTTTAATTTATACACATTCACACCTACATACTTACTTTGACATTATAGACAACATGACCTGCTGACAAGGCTGCTGCAGAGTGCACCCAAGACTTTGTTCCTACAAAATGAAAGAACAAACCATAGTACACAACATACGATTTAAAGGAAAAGGAAATGAAATAACTTAATAAACAAATATCAAATTCCTATTGTAGTATACCCTACTAGTAGTGACAATAGATGTATTGTTAAACATATTTTCTGATGGAATACAGAAAACAATCTAGATGATAATGATGTCTGCTGAGAGCCAGAACTCTACTACCGGTAGGTGATCTACCAAGGAGTATGAGTTGCCCATTATTTAGTTGAAATCTTCATTTAGGATCAAATCATGCCCCCCCTCCTAAATATCCAATCAATAAACAAAGAGTAGGCCTACTCTGCACAATCATTGCAAGAATTCCTTCAGAATAAAAATGTCTTAATTTCAATTAGTGAATATATATGTGTAATTTAAAATCAGTACATGTTCGTATACCCGGTAATTACTTTTAAGACTGATGTTCTTTTTCAATATTTTCTGATACACACTTATTTAAAAGAAAGAGAGAGAGAGAGAGAGAGAGAGAGAGTGGGGGGGGGGGGGAGGGGGCAGAGATAAACTGAGTAAAAACAAATACAATATAGAAACAGGAAGAGAAAATGGATCATGTGACTTTAAATCTCAGTCAAAAAAGTTAAGGAATGTGAGGGACACACAGGCGGTAGGTAAGAAAGATAAGCAGAACTATAGGGAACTAAGGAGCATGAAAAATATTTGAACAAATTCAAACATACCACTTTTCACGTTATTCCACTTGGCACTCATTGTGAAGGCATAGGATTCTCTCTTCAGAACGTCCAATCAAACACAACCTTTGTGATTTCAGTTTTCAAATATGTCCAACTAAATCCAAATCCTCTAATATTTTCCCACCTCTGTACAGGGTCAGAGTCGGACATGTACTTTTACATCAAATCAGAACAGCTCCATCAGAGGTACATGTCAATTGTAGAGCTGTTTGCAATTATTCCAGCCTCCCTCAGGTAAAGTATTTCTGTTCTGAACCTCTGACAATTACTGTGAAGTACTGGTCACAGACAATGGGTGAAAGTGGATTTAGAGGGCCTCCAGCTGGCACTTCCTTTTGACAAGATCCAGTCCAAATATTGTTGTGTGAGCAGACAGTCACCCTATGCTCTCATCAAACTTGATAATCCAAGTGAAGCTGACTCTTCAGAAAGTCCTGCTCAATGAAGGCCTGTGAGTCTTCCAATAAGGCTGGAATTGAAGAAAACAAACTAAAATAAAATCTACTGTACCAAAGTATATGAGTCCACTCCACCATATCTTTGAATAAGAGTGGAAACAAAATGCTAATCTTGAGCTCTGGTATGGGAATTGGTTTTATGAGAAAATTGCTATGATTTATTCAGGATTGTTTATCCTGCAGTAGATTGTTTGAACCAGTGAAATAAAAACATACGCACAAAAACATACTGGGCATCATCTACGATAAAAAACGTGACTTCCAATTTCACTAGTGACCTGTGTTAAGCACATGGTGCACGGTGTCAGGCCTACTTACCCCAATTTTCTTAATAAAAACTAGTATTTACGCTCTCCATAGGAAACTACAGTTTATCACAGCGTGTAAAAAAAATTATCATACAATAACAACTATAATAACTATATTTCATCGGCAAAGGTAAATACACGATGTTTGAAAGTGATAGAGAAAAGAAAAGGGTTTAAATTAAGTTAGTTCACGGAAGAGGTATGTTTTCAAGAGTTTCTTAGATTGGTCTGTTGAATTTGCTGCTTTAATAAAAGAGCTGGAGGATATTATTGCTCCCTTCTCTGGATGCAGTTACAGTATATGTGCGATCGCCTGCTTTGCTATGGGTCCTAGGAATGGTAAGCAGAAATGGGTCTCGGCTAGAGCGAAGATTAGGGAGAGATGAAAGATCTTTAATGTTGGCGATTCCTTATCTTTCTATGCTCATTATTCAGCCACTTTACATTTTCTACCAAAGTTGTTTACTTGGCACATGTCATTTTTTATTTGTAACTTGAACATTCAGTGTTAGTTTGGTTAGATTCTGTGCAGTGGCGTACCTGGGGTACTCCGTCAGGGGGGGCAAGCGACCGAAACAAACAAAAAAGGCGATGCTAATTTTCACTTCTGGCGAGCGAGCGAGCAAAAAAAAATCTTTAAGTAACGTTTGGTATATAAACTGGTATTGTTGCAAGTTGGGGGTGGGAAAATTCACTTGTTAGCGACGTTAATTTCATTTTTTTGCAAACTAGTGTAGCGAGCAAGAAAAAAATCACTTCTTTTTTAATAATTGCCACTTAAACTTGGTTCAATTGTCCCATGCAGGGCGCGGGAACAATATTGTGTTTAGGGTGATTTTATACCTATTTTAGCTAGCGAGCGAAAATACATCTTTCTCTCAATGAATTGCTATATAAAATTTGTTTCATTGTTGCAGGTAGGGGGCGGGCACAATCGTGTTTAAGGCAATGTCAATCCCATTTTGGCGGGCAGGCAACCCCCTACATTTCTCTTTTTAATGATATTGTAGCAGGTTAGTGGTGGGCACATAATTCCACGAGCTAGCGAGCGAAAAAAAAAATCACTTTTCTTTTATAGGGAAAATATGGTACATAAAACTTGGGTTTATTGTTCCATGTCAGGGACGTGATTATTAAAAGCGGTGTTAATTCTATTTTGGCGAGCGAGCAAAAAAAAATCACTTCTCTTTATAGGGAAAATATGGTATATAAACTTGGTTTAATTGTTCCATGTCAGGGACGTGATTATTAAAAGCGGTGTTATTTCTATTTTGGCGAGCGAGCGTAGCGAGCGAGCAAAATTTTTGTAATGATAATTGGTTCATAAATTTCAGATTTTTTTGTTGCAGGGCAGGGCTTACACAATCATGTCTAAGGTGATGTTAATTCCGTTTTGGCGAGCACGAGCACACCAAAACTTCTTTGAATAACGTTTCGTACATAATTATTAACTGGTTGTTGCAGGTTGGGGCGGGCACGTTAGCGGTGTCAATTCCATTTTGGCGAGCGAGCATAGCAAGCAAGTAAAAAAAATAAATTCTCTTTTAATAGAAATTAATAAATAAACTTGTTTTTATTGGTGCAGGTCAGGACGCAATCGCGTTTAACGCGATTCAATTCCTTTTTGGCGAGAGGGCGAAAAAACTCTTCCATTTTTAATGATATTGTTGCAGGTTAAGGGTGGGCACAATTGTTTCCAAAGCAATGTCTATTCATTTTATTCGCGAGCGAGTGTAGCGAGCGAGAAAAATGAATTAGTCTCTTAGTTTAGTAACATTTGGTACATATATTGTGTGTTATTGTTGCCATGGTTGCAGGTCGGGGCCCGTCGGGGCAGGCACAATTGTATTCTACGCAATACTAATCCTTTTCTTTTTTCAGGGGGACGAGGAAGTGAAAACATTTAATACAAAATAGGCTAGCAAGCAGTTCGCGCCAGCGAAGAGTTTCAAATTTGTTATATCACTTATATTTTCCTATTTTCATTTGTTTTAATTTTTCAGGGCCGTATGCGGAATATTTTTCTGATGGGGGAAGGGGGAAAGATGCGTTAAAAGTTTTCGAAGAATCTCAAAAGCAAAAGGAGTGAAGGGAGTTCGAGCGACCGAACTGGTCATGAGGGTACTTTTGCATTTTCAAAAGTAGAATTGAAGGATTTGATATAGGCCTACACTACATTTTCAGGAAAAAAACTGTACGATTTCAAAATATCTGGGGTCAACTGCCCCCCCCCCCCTGGTGCTTACGGCCATGTTCTTTATTTTTTTCCCCATTTTTATTCCTTTCCTTTTCTTTTCCCTTTTCTTCCTTTTTTCTTTCCTTTTTTTCCTTTTTTCTCTTTCTTTCCTTTTTTCTTTCCTTTTCCTTTTTTCTTTTTCTTTCCTTTCCCTTTCTTTTCTTTTCTTTCCCCTTTTTCTTTTTTTTCCCCTGGAGCCCGTCAGGGGGGGCACTCTGCCCCCCCTGCCCCCCCCCCCATAGGTACGCCAGTGATTCTGTGAGAATTTATTTACTATATAGATCTACTGGTTGCTTAAACCCCGTCTAAATGGAAAATAAAGTCGCGGTGTCGTCCGGACGTTGTCCTGATGACATTTACCCCCTTCCTATTAAGACACGTCAATCGGGGTAACGTCCGGACAATATCGAGGTAAATGTAACCCTAGTGGGGCCAGGGTAATATCGCGGTAACTTCCGGACGTTGTCCGGATGACATCCTGATAAACAGCCTGTTAAGACGCGCGCGGAACTCTATCCGGGTAGATGACGTCATCGACGTGAAAAAATGTATACATGTACACAGCGCGCGCCAGCTGATCGCGATGAGGGCTCTGGTGCGGTTGTTATGGTAACCTACCCGGGGTGAGGTTTTTGCAGATGGCTGGTTAAGACGGTGTCATGGAGCCAGGCAAAAGCTCACCCCGTGTTTTACGATCAGACCCCCCACTGTTTCTCATCCACATGTTGCTTGGATGAGATCGAAAATGTTCCATTAAGATGGGGCTTTACTTACAAGCAATTATGCTTTCTTAGCAGTCAGGTAAAAAAAAAAAACACCAGTAGGCTCTAGACTTGACTATTAAAAAGTAGATTCTAGGCCTAGTATATTTACCAAAACTCACTCCAGCAAAGCATAGAGAGTCAATGCTAATGCGCCTCTAGCACTGCATGCTTGCTGTGAGGGAGGTATCATTAGACCTGTACATAAATACACACCACACAAACTTGCATAGACTGTACACGATCATGTCGATGCAGCTGTTAGCAAAGTTTGGCACTAGACAATATGAATTTTTAAAATATTCTTTTTAACATCAGTAAGTTAACAAAAATGTATTTTACTGCTATTTATAGGTGTCATCAATTGTCACTAAACTTAAAGTACCGATTTTTAGTGAAATTAGTTGAGTTTTGTACAGTGGTGTTTGAAATGTTCAAAAGCACAGCTTTTACTACACAGCCAGGATAGTGATGCTCCTACGTGTGCCAAAACTCAGGTTTCATAATCAAAGGAATAGACCCTATTTTGTATAAAGAAAAAGATTGCCAATTTATCATATTTAAATGTCTGTGAGACATACATGTGGTACATACTATATCAACATGGACGTGACAGCTAAATTAAATGTAAAGTGCAGATCTAGAGAAGCAGCACATGGAAAGTCAAAACAAACGAATTTCTTTGGCAACATTAAATCATTGCGCCTGCGCCAGTCCACTTTCAATTTGCCCCTGAATGTGGGCCATCTTCGACGGCGATGAGCATGATAAGAAAGACAACGTTTATACGGACCTCGTAGATCTAGACTCTACTTCCGTAATTCGTAAATGTCATGGCAGTTTCACCAGGGATTTGAACTCCCTGCCCCTAGTTTCACCGTCCCAGTCACCCATGACTCCTTTCACTCTCATAATAAAAAGGGCGGCATTATCATGACATGTCACATTCGGCAATTAATGAATGAATATTTACCATCAGCTACAATTTGAAGTCCAGCTCTGGATCTGGAACGTTACATTATCGTCATGCTTGAACGCGTATATACGTAATACGTTTGTATTGTTTGCGGAGCGGTACTATACTGTGGTGGTAAAGAATCGAGATGGCGGCACCGTTCGTGGGGCCGGGTGGGGAATCAATTCAAGAGTGCGTGGGAAGGGAATATATCAAGGAGTGCGGATCGAGTTGACGAAATCCCGGGACGAAATGCGAGCCGGAAATCTGTATGTTCCGTTGGTTTCACGGTGATACCAACGGAATGCAGATTTTGTACAATAGTCTTGTTCATTTTGAAGGATATTACGCGAGGGAGCGTAGCGACCGAGCCAGAAGATTTTTGTATTTAATTGTATTAATTAGTCTAAAATTAACGCCGCATGCACTTTTGGGTCCTCCAGAGCCTAAAGGTGTGTTGCAATCTTAAAACAGTATTGCTATAGGCCTACATTTTTTTTGGCACTTTTAAACAAATTTTCCCGGAATCGCCGCAACTGATGTAATCAGAATAAACCAATTATATTCTCTCCGTCTAAAAGCGCAAATTCGAGATGCAAAATGATTGAAATTAAGTTTTTGCTTTTTCATCCAACTATAAGTCCTAATTTCTTCTTCAAACTTTCTTCCTGTTCACAGAAGTTTCTGTTTTCACATGACTAAATTTGTTACATATTGGATTGCCCTGCATGTAAAGTTAAGAGCGTTTGAAGCTTCACTATTTCTGTTTTAAAATTGTAGAGAGGGTTTATGATTTCCTTAATTTGAAGGGTAAAAAAGATGCCATATTCTAAACAGAGTTCAATAGTTTAACGTCATGCACACCCCCAGTCTTACTCGTTTTATTGCACTCGGAGAGATGATGAGCCATTCCCTATTTATACCTCCCGTTTTGAATTATGTCCAAATTTAAAAGAGTGGGGCTAGTAAAACTTGACCACTGGTCCTACTTTTACTGTCATGGGATGAAAGACTAGGTGTCCTCCCACAATTCCACTAAGGGATTCCCAGGAGCAATCTGTCGTTCTCGGGCAAGTACGTCATCAAATATTCACTATTTATACCTCCCTCCCGTTTTGAATTACGTCCAAATTTAAAAGAGTGGGGCTAGTAAAACTTGACCACTGGTCCCACTTTTACTGTCATGGGATGAAAGACTAGGTGTCCTCCCACAATTCTACTAAGGGATTCCCAGGAGCAAGCTGTCGTTTTTGGGCAAGTACGCCATTAAATATTCACTATTTATACCTCCCGTTTTGAATTACGTCCAAATTTAAAAGAGTGGGGCTAGTAAAACTTGACCACTGGTCCCACTTTTACTGTCATGGGATGAAAGACGGTGTCCTCCCACAATTCCACTAAGGGATTCCCAGGAGCAATCTGTCGTTCTCGGGCAAGTACGCCATCAAATATTACCTATTTATACCTCCCGTTTTGAATTACGTCCAAATTTAAAAAAGTGGGGCTAGTAAAACTTGACCACTGGTCCCACTTTTACTATCATGGGATGAAAGATTAGGTGTCCTCCCACAATTCCACTAAGGGATTCCCAGGAGCAATCTGTCGTTTTCGGGCAAGTACGCCATCAAATATTCACTATTTATACCTCCCGTTTTGAATTATGTCCAAATTTAAAAGAGTGGGGCTAGTAAAACTTGACCACTGGTCCCACTTTTACTGTCATGGGATGAAAGATTAGGTGTCCTCCCACAATTCCACTAAGGGATTCCCAGGAGCAATCTGTCGTTTTGGGGCAAGTACGCCATCAAATATTCACTATTTATACCTCCCGTTTTGAATTATGTCCAAATTTAAAAGAGTGGGGCTAGTAAAACTTGACCACTGGTCCCACTTTTACTGTCATGGGATGAAAGACTAGGTGTCCTCCCACAATTCCACTAAGGGATTCCCAGGAGAAATCTGTCGTTCTCGGGCAAGTACGCCATCAAATATTACCTATTTATACCTCCCGTTTTGAATTACGTCCAAATTTAAAAAAGTGGGGCTAGTAAAACTTGACCACTGGTCCCACTTTTACTATCATGGGATGAAAGATTAGGTGTCCTCCCACAATTCCACTAAGGGATTCCCAGGAGCAATCTGTCGTTTTCGGGCAAGTACGCCATCAAATATTCCCTATTTATACCTCCCGTTTTGAATTATGTCCAAATTTAAAAGAGTGGGGCTAGTAAAACTTGACCACTGGTCCCACTTTTACTATCATGGGATGAAAGATTAGGTGTCCTTCCACAATTTCACTAAGGGATTCCCAGGAGCAATCTGTCGTTTTGGGGCAAGTACGCCATCAAATATGCACTATTTATACCTCCCGTTTTGAATTATGTCCAAATTTAAAAGAGTGGGGCTAGTAAAACTTGACCACTGGTCCCACTTTTACTGTCATGGGATGAAAGACTAGGTGTCCTCCCACAATTCCACTAAGGGATTCCCAGGAGCAATCTGTCGTTCTCGGGCAAGTACGCCATCAAATATTACCTATTTATACCTCCCGTTTTGAATTACGTCCAAATTTAAAAAAGTGGGGCTTGTAAAACTTGACCACTGGTCCCACTTTTACTATCATGGGATGAAAGATTAGGTGTCCTCCCACAATTCCACTAAGGGATTCCCAGGAGCAATCTGTCGTTTTCGGGCAAGTACGCCATCAAATATTCCCTATTTATACCTCCCGTTTTGAATTATGTCCAAATTTAAAAGAGTGGGGCTAGTAAAACTTGACCACTGGTCCCACTTTTACTGTCATGGGATGAAAGACTAGGTGTCCTCCCACAAATCCACTAAGGGATTCCCAGGAGCAATCTGTCGTTCTCGGGCAAGTACGTCATCAAATATTCACTATTTATACCTCCCGTTTTGAATTACGTCCAAATTTAAAAGAGTGGGGCTAGTAAAACTTGACCACTGGTCCCACTTTTACTATCATGGGATGAAAGACTAGGTGTCCTCCCACAATTCCACTAAGGGATTCCCAGGAGCAATCTGTCGTTTTCGGGCAAGTACGCCATCAAATATTCACTATTTATACCTCCCGTTTTGAATTATGTCCAAATTTAAAAGAGTGGGGCTAGTAAAACTTGACCACTGGTCCCACTTTTACTGTCATGGGATGAAAGACTAGGTGTCCTCCCACAAATCCACTTAGGGATTCCTAGGAGCAATCTGTCGTTTTCGGGCAAGTACGCCATCAAATATTCACTATTTATACCTCCCGTTTTGAATTATGTCCAAATTTAAAAGAGTTGGGCTAGTAAAACTTGACCACTGGTCCCACTTTTACTATCATGGGATGAATGACTAGGTGTCCTCCCACTATTCCACCAAGGGATCCCAGGAACAATTTGTCGTTTTGGGGCAAGTATGCCATCAAATATTCACTATTTATAACTTTAAATAAGTTTTGAATTATGTCCAAATTTAAAAGAGCCCACCCCCAAACCCCTGACAAAATGTCGCCGTAGCAATTATCGTGACACCCCTGAAAATCCTTGGCCGATTCGCGAAGTCGTGGAAGCAGGCGAGTCCAATTTCTACAGCCCCGCGTAATACTGTATCCGATATAGGTAATCCTGCTAATGTTGGCTAGATTATGGGGCTGGCTTGTTGTGGGCTTGCGTATTGTTGGCCAACTTGACACAGGCCACCGGGGAAGTTACCAGCATGATCGTATGGAAGGCCAACCCCGCCATAAACTTAACTAGTAACGTAACCAATAAGGAAACACTAACGTACACTTAGTATCCAATGATTTTACAGAGTAGTGCTTGCGTTACTAAACAGTTACGTTAGTCAAATGATGAAAAGCTTACGTATACTCATTCTAGGGATTATTTTACCTACGTAAGCTCTTTAGTTTTCATTAACGCAACTGTCTAAGTAATTCAGTAGCGTAAGTAAAACACACTACCGTTAGTTTAATGTTGACCAATCATACCCATCGTTGCATGCCATAGAAACACACACCGATCTTTTTTTCTATAGCTAGAGCTAGAGCTAGCTAGAGATCGGTGATACCATGGTGATTCAGTCGTGATCGTAGACATAGGCTTAAGAACCGGGGAGGGGGGCTTGCGGGGGCACAGCCCCCCAATGAAAAATCTTGGGGGGGGGGGGGGGTCAGATATCATTGAACCCCGCCCAATATTTTTGGCGGGGCTTATAGATATCATTGAGCCCCCAATTTTGTGGTGGGCTTAGATATCATTGAGTCCTTAGGGGCGCAGATACCATTGAGCCCCCACTATTTTAAGTGGGGCTCACATATCATTGAGCCGCACCCAATACTTATTGCGGGGCTCGGATATCATAAACCCCCACCTCCCCTATCATTATATTCTAGGCATGAAACTCATGTATACCTATAATCTACAGACTTACCATTCAAATATAAACATTTTATAAATATTTATTTGGGGAGGGGGGGGGGGCTCAGACATCGGATCTCGCATAACATTGACCCCCAAAAAATATATATATCTCGGATATAATTGAGACCCCCAAATATTTTCTTGGCGGGACTCTGATATCATTGAGCACCCCCTCCCCATATTGTGGTGGGGCTAAGATATCTTTGAGCCCCCCCCCCCATATTTTGGAGGGACTCAGATATCATCAGCCCCCCCCCCCCCCCAATTATTGTTGGTGGGGCTCGGATAATATCACGGAGCCCCCGATATTTTTGTGGGGCTCGGATAACATCACGGAGCCCCCTGATATTTTTGAGGGGCTCGGATATCATCGAGCCCCCCCCCCCCCACCCCCCTCCCAATATTTTGTTCGGGCTCGGATAGGCTATCATTGATCCCGCCCTCCCCAAATATATTTGCACACTTATGTTCTGGGCTAGAAGCTTTATGCGTTTCTATAATCTACAGATCGACTTAGTATTCAAATTATTATTAAAACTGACAGTTTATAAATATTGGGAGATT